TGAATGAACCCAGAAGGTTCCATATAATAGAACCAAAGGGTTCTTATTATTGAACCCTTATAAAGGGTTCTGTATAGAACCTTTTAGGGGTTTCAAATACCTTTTAAGGTTCTATATAGAACCTTTTCTTCTAATAGTGTGGTGCAAAAGTTCATTTATTTCAGTAATTCTACTTAAAACTAATATATTATCATTACATGCAAAGTGAGATATTCAAGCCTTTATTTGTTGTAATTTTGATGATTATGGCTTATAGCTTATGAAAACCCCAAATTCAAAATTAGAATATTGTGATAAGGTTTTCATATCTGTAAGCCATAATCATCAAAATTATAACAAATAAAGGCTTGAATGTCTCACTTTGCATGTAATGAGTCTAAAATATTTCACCTTTTAAGTTGAATTACTGAAATAAATGAACTTTCGAGTTTCACCCATAAAGTGTCTATCATTAGAGATTATGCATTACCACTTTAATTTAGGGTCAATTTCTCACAATAAACTAGTGCTTTTTAGCATGCATGGTACATGCAAGATATTGGCTGTTTTTTTTAGACCATTGACCACATTTTACATAACCTAATCCACCCAATAGCTAAACTTAACTACCTTACTAACTATTTGATGTAGATGTCTACAAACCGAAAGGTTGGTGGTTCAAACAAACCCCGGTTCCATCTGATCAAGTGTTGAGCTGTCCATGAGCAAGACACCTGACCCCAGCTGCTCCCGACGAGCTGGGTGTCGCCTTGTATGGCTGACACCGCCGTCAGTGTATGAATGAGTGATTGAATGGGTGAATGTGAGGCAAATGTAAAGCGCTTTGGTGACCATTGGGCCCATGAAAACGCTATGTAAATGCAGTCCATTTACCATCCATTTACCATTAATAAGCAGTAATTATGAGTTTATTAAGGCAAACGTCGTAGTTAATGGTTAAAATTGGACCCTAAGCTAAAGTGCGACTAATTTTGCTATATGGCTTTTATCACAGTATGTGTAACACAGTACTACTTTAAAGTTATAGCCACTTTAGAGTGAAATACATGGAAGCTTGTTTCCACCATGGTAAAAAGAAAAAGAGGACATTGCAAATTTTTTATCATGCAACTGCAAGTTTATATCTCACTATTCTAAGAAAAAAGTTTGAATTGCAAGATATAAACAAAAAAAATGTAGAACTGTAAGATACAATTTTTCTTTGGCGAAAACAAGCATTCATACTTCCATTATTATCGTCTATAAGATAAAAATACATATTGGCTTATCAGTATCAGCCAGATTTTAATATTTAGTGCATTCTGTTCCTCACACAAAACCATCGTATAGCTTCGTACGACTTGAAATATAGAGCATGAATCATAAGGACAACTTTTATGGTGTGTTTTTGTGTGTGTGTGCGTGTTCCACACAGGTCTGGACTGACATGAGGGAGAATAAATGATTTTTCGGTGAACTATCACTTTAACTTACCCTTTGAGGAATCCCAGATGTAGCTGTTCAGGATTTCTCCCAAGACATAGTAGACATTGATCAGAGCCGTGAGGCAGATGAAGAAGAAAATTCTGGCCATGGGCCCGATGTGCTCCAGCAAAGGATAAACCCACACCCCCGTCACGCTGTGCACCCAGCACATCCTATGAGAGCGAGACAGAGAAATCTGTTACCTTTGCACCCGTGATCCGTCTAATGTGTTTGTCCTTCTGTCTGCTAAAGCCAGCGTTTGCAAGGCTGCAGAAGCAGTCACCACACTGTCAATGTGTCTACCATTCATGTCTGTGAATGCTAGACACTGCTCTTTTTGTTGCGCTGCTTCAATCCTTTTTTTGTTGCTAGAGCAATTTGAATGCAGTCGCATGGTTATAATCTACAGCCTCACAGTCTACAGTCCGTTTATGTAATGGATTGTGTCCGTTTAATCTACTCCTGCAGTGCACTCATAACCTTAGCTTTAATATTTGATGAATATTAAAGAAGGCCCATCTACCTACTTTTCAAATACCTTGTTTTCTCAGACTCTGAGTGTATAAAAGCTGTTTCTGGAAGGTAAGCCTCATGTAAAGCTGCCTATGTATTTAAAAACTGCAGGCAAGTCTTATTCCCGGACTAAATAAAAAGCAATGCCTAATCAGCTTAATTTAGGGAAGGTAAATAAGACAGAGGTGTGTGCTGATAATCTTGTACTAAAGGTACCATTTTGATTTTGACAGACGCCTCCTACTTGCCGTCAGACTAGTTTAGTTTGCCTCCAAGCACTTTCTTAACATTGCTAATTAATCTGTTATATGCAAGACTAAATAAATCCTAGGCGGTTTATTTTCCAAAAGTTTCTGGGGCACTGAAACTGGGGTTGTATCTTTCCATGAATTGTGTACAAAACAGGTCTTGAAATTCTAAAAATATATTTTTAACTGTTATCATTTATTAAATGTAAAAAAAAAAAAGCCAATTTGAGACTAATTGTGTCTGAATGTAAAAGTGATTTATGTGATCTTTTTAAAAAAAAATTTTTGCCAAAAAATAATGATTATATTATATACTGTGCATATAATAGTTATTCATAAGTGATTCATCTTATTTATTATTTATTAAATATAGCATAACCTTATATTATATGTATTATTCATTATTATTAATATGTATTATTATTGATGGTGATAATATTTATTAATTTTTTTTATATGTATTATTAAAACAGTATAATCTTAATATTGCATTATTATTATTATTATATTAATAATAATATTTAGAGCAATAACAATTTTGTATAGCAATTTTCACAATACACAGGTGATTATATAATTACAGGTACATCTGGTGTCCATCGTCATTAGTTTTTTTTTAGATGGTTATATTTTAAATTATTTTAATAATTTGTTACACATTGTCACAAGCTGTTACATGCCATAGCAATATAATTTTTTTTATTGTAAAAAGTGCCTTATAGCTTAAAATCATGATTTCTTGTTGACCGAATTAATCAATGCATTTTTTTTCCATCATTTATCATTGTGTAATCAAAATATTTTATTTTACATTTCTTTTGGTAATATTTAATTTATTTTATTTATAAAAGCCCTAAATAGTCATTTTTCCTAATTCTACAACATTAAATTGTTTTATAAGAAAATATGTTAATCTAAAAAGTTCTTCCACCAAGAGTTATTTTGTTAAAAAGTCAACATTGTTACCAATATCAAAAGGAAAACAGAATTTATCAGTTATCAAGTTGTAATCATGATTTCATTAGTGCCATGTGCTCTTAGCATTTATGCTAGCAAGTGGAGTTTTTGGAAAGAATCAGATTGTCACTGGCTAAAAGTAGAAATAAAATAGAGCAAAAAAGAAACTTTCATCGTTACACCCGTAGGTGACAAGTCACTGTTGATGTATGTCATATATAATTTGTCATTGATTCGTTCATTCAAGAGATTGTTGTTGTTGTTTTTAAACAACACAAGCATGTGTAACAGGGTATTAGATATAGCCTAAAGCTAGTTAACCAACTGTTGTTGTAGTTCTTGATAAACATTATAAAGGGAAAAGCCATTTTACAGCGACACGTCTCCATTTTAAGTGGGGATACAGACATTTCATGCGTTTCAAAACTACCTCCTTTTGCTAGGTTCATTTCAAGTTAAATGATAGTTTACATGGGATTTGTGCCTCTAACGCTTTTACAATGTAATGAGAGACCAAAGTTTACCCTATTCATGGAAAGTGCCAGAATTCAAGCAAATTAATTACCGTGCAGAAAGACGTAAGGGAATGATTTGGAGGTCATGAAGATCAGGTGACCAGATGGAATCCATCTTTTGATTGACACTGTGCTAGAACAATGCAAAGTTAATTTCCCCTGATCGTCGTACCTTCAGGGAGTCCTTTGTAAATTAACCCAGTGTGATATTAAAAATGACTGTGCTGGAAGGAGAGATTTACCATACGACATATCCCACAGCAAATGTGCACACCGCCAAGAGTCCACAGGACCTGCTGGGATATCGATGGTGTGTTGTTCTCATCTCAATTATGATGAAAGGAAGAACTGTTGTGTGCTGAAAAGGACATAAATACAGCACAGTTAGCTGTAAAGCGCAGAATCTCATCAAATTTCAATGCACTGGCTCTTGCAAAGACAAATTGTCTGGGAAGTTTCACTGTAGATTGATAGATTTTATATGCAGTATTAGTATAGTATACTGATTAGCAAATAAGACATAAATTTAAAAGCTTTTACAAATAACCACTTGCAAACAAACTGCAGCTCTATACAGAAAATAAGTCATTTCTAGGATACTCCATTGTGTAGTTCCTTTAATAACGCCAACAAATTATAATATGGTTAATGCGAGAGGGCCGATGATAATCATTATTGTTAAAATGTAATTTACAAGTGGAATGGGTTCACCTTTACACCCAAATGCTAATGAATCTGCACAGAATGAAACCCAAATCACAAAGTGTTGCTATAATCTGCTTAAATCATTTGATTTTTGTCAGATTGACTGATTCAAAAGTTCTGTTTGTCACTGCGTCTGTATCGCATCTTGATCAAACCCATAGCGATTAATCGCATCCAAATTAAAAGTTTGTGTTTACATGATATATGTGTGTGTGGTGTGTATAATTATTTTGTATATATAAATACTAACACATGCATGTATATATTTAAGAAAAATGTGTTCTTAATATATCAAATATTTATATTTTTACATAATATTAATTATGTATAAATATATATAAAGTATATACATGCAAATATTTCTTAAATATATACATGCATGTGTGTGTATTTATATATACAAAATACATATATTATGTAAACACAAACTTTTATTTTGGATGCGATTAATCGTTTCCCATCCCTACCCAATATACATATTTTTTCCAAACAATGGGTAATTCTTTCTATATTTTATGGTGCTTCACAAAAGCCTAGATCACAAACTCTTGTTGATGAGAAACTCTTGTTGACTGAAAAAAAGCAATTTTTTTTTCAGCTCGCCGTTCCACCCATCCGATCACCTTGGGATCCAGAACGGTTACACAACTTCAAGCAAATTTCTCATGAACAAGATACAAGAAGTGAAAAGGAAGCTGGGTGTGGACTGAAGCCGAGTGTTTGACAAATAAGCTGACATGGTTTTATGCAGCTGAAAAGATGCTAGGCGAGCCAGGCCTGGGCGGGAGCTTCTTTACCAACATGAGTGATGAGACGGGTGAGCTATCATCATTATAACCATTACTGCCATTATGCTAGCCAATGCAAACATTTCAAGTCAAGGATGGTAACATAAAGTTGTATTATTATTTTTTTTAAATGTAGAGCTGAACATCTGTTTCATTTTTACGAGAGTGCTATGTGGCATCGTGCATGAGACAATATGCAGACTGATTGCTAAAAGTTGAGATGATGACATAACATTTTACATTAGGTCACAGTATTAAAGGCTAATCATTTTAAAACAGACATTTATTGTGTCCTAAAACAGATAGTTCACTCAAAAATGAAAAGTCTGTCATAATTCACTCACACTCATGTCGTTCCAAACCAATAAGACACAAATTAAGATATTTTTCCTTTGTCTCTCCAATGAAAGTCCAGGTAACCAAAACTTAAAAGCTCCAAACATGCCTTAAAGGCGTTGTAAAATGAATCCATTAGAGGTCTAATCCTAGTCTTGTGAAGAGATATGATCGCTTTATATGATGAACAGATTTAAATCATTTTTATTTACATCTAAACAGTGATATGGTAAACAGAAACTCAATGTATGTGTTGATCATTCCTGAAATGCACTTTTAAAAATAAAGGTTCTTTATTGGCATTGAAGAAGATATTTTAAAGAATGTAATCATTAACGATTGCCATTGCCAAATGTTTGATTACCAACACTCTTTTTGTGTTGACCGGATGAAAGAAACTCATACAGGTGAGTAAATGATGCCAGAATTATTTTTTTGGGGTGAAGTATCCTATCATGGAGCTCCTTTCATTGCATGTTCACTTCCACTGTTAGTCAGCAGATGGCAACCTTCTTACATAAAGACAGTCAAAAGTCTCGCTCCTTGCAGATTTGGCCTCATTTGACCCCACGTCTGTGCTGGAAACGGCATCCAAAAGAATGACTTATGAGCCTTACCGAAATTACATGACATGTTAATATTCTGATATGGTTTTAACGTGCAACCACAGCTCTTATTGAACCCGCTTTTGCAATATTTCCACACTAAATAAAAAGCAGACCACATTTACTGGGCTTTCCCTAGATATGAATGCGCCAACCCGCTTAAAACCGGGATGCTGGTTGTTTTAAGTCCTTAGCGTGTTGACGTCTCATCAGATCGGCAGGCCTGAACTTGTCTTTGACAAGTGTCGGGAGTGAGATGTAGTCAGTGAGAAAGCAGCTTTTTGTGTGTGTGTGTGTGTGTCATCCTGTGACTGAACCCATGAGCTAGTTGCCAGTTATGAGTCACATTACTGCTAGCCAAACAGATACTGTAATGTTCTAAAGCAGCCACTGTCAATCAGAATTCATGTACTGTAAGTTGGTTGATCAGCTCTGATTCACTTTGACTTTTCAGCATGTAATGTAGTCGGTGTCTTCACCAGTGTTGCTCATGTTTACAGAGTATCATAAGGCAGTGTGATACTCAGTGTGATTCATTTTGAGTCTTAATATCTGTTCTCAGTGTCACTGTTTTTTTTAAGTATACCAGGTTACTTGTTTCGACTAGTTTATCCAAGTTTAATTTGTTAGTTTGCTAAAGACAAAATGTCCCAAATAGCATATAAATGTATGTAAGTGTCAAAAAGTACTTTATGTATAGTACATATCAGTGGTCAAAAAAAGATTTTCAAAATGATTCCCTTGTCACTTCCTCCTAAACCTAAGAACTGTTTGACGACTATCATCGTTATTGAGGTTTGTGTGTAAAGTGTTGTGGTCTATGTGCATCCTTGTGCAACTTTTGCACCTAATGCCTTTGCTTTGCAAAATGTTTTCTTTATATAACAACCCCCCCCCCCCACACACACACACTTTCAATTATTTTAGTTCAATTAAAGACCATCTTTGATCATATTTACCAAGTGGGCAAATAATTCTGACCAGCACTTTATACAGGGCTTGACATTAACTTTTTTGTTCACCCACTATGTCAGTATGTGTTTGTGTGTGTGTGTTTTTGTATCTACCTACCTATCCTATCTATCCTATCTATCTATCTATCTATCTATCTATCTATCTATCTATCTATCTATCTATCTATCTATCTATCTATCTATCTATCTATCTATCTATCTATCTATCTATCTATCTATCTATCTATCTATCTATCTATCTATCTATCTATCTATCTATCTATCTATCTATCTATCTATCTATCTATCTATCTAAAGACTTCAGATGCAAAAACATAAGTGCCATTTGAGATTTTCTTCTAAAATGAGCATTTTTACGCTATTTTTTTTAAATTGGTTTTTATTCAGACATCAAATGGTCTTGAAATAATTACAGGTTTCAGGATAGATTTCTTATATGCAGAAAAATAATAAACTAAAAAAAAAAAAAAACGTACTGTAACCAACACCCCATCCCCGCCTGTTAATATACAATCCAGTGATATTAATACACTGTTCTTAAGTCAGCCTGCAATACATTACATTAAAGGATAACATTCCTATTGAGGTAACATATGAGAGGATCCCAAATCTTGTGAAATTGTCCCACGTTGCCTTTCAAAAGGTATCTAGTTCGTTCCAGGTGTAGAGTAGACATCAGTTCCTCAAGCCATAGTTTAGCAACAGGAGGGTAAACCTTTTTCCAAAACAGTAATAACAGTTTCTTGGCTGTTATCAGACAGTATGTTCTGTTGGGCACTGTTCAAAGTATATATATGGTTAGAATGTCCTAATATAATGAGCACTGGGTCAGGTTCCAGGTTTACCTTAAGTATATCTGAAAGCATTTTAAAAACCTCACATTTTAAAAGCTATTTTATCAAGCTCGTATATCAAGCTCGTATATTAGGTTCAGTAATTTCACTTTAATAACAATTAATAGGTAATTTTCATTGCCATTAAAGTGAAATAACTGAACATAAACATAAAAAGCTTGACAAAAAAAGATTCTAGAAGAAAATTTCAGATGGCACTTTTGTATCTGAAGTCTTCATATATTTATATTATTATCATATATATATATTAGTGCTATCAAGTCGACTAATTGTGATTAATCGCATCACATCGAACAGAAGAAGAAGCTTAAGCCTTGTCAGTATAACCAGGCATATAGGTTACAAACGTGTTGTGAGACCCCTGCATTCTGTTCCCCAACACATCCTGTGAGAATGAGTCTATGATTGTGCTGTCTGCTCTCAGTAAGTCTGGTTTGACACGGTGCATTTAGTGGGTGCTAGTCTGACTGCAGGCTACAAAGACATTAAGTTGGTACATGAAACGTTTATTGTATAAAGATTACTTTGTCATTAAGATTGATCATTTTAGCATGCTAATACATTTTTCTATGTACATTCAAAGGATAATCAAGCTGTACATACATAATGTACTTTTACCTTCTTTTAGCAGTGCAGTAATATTGGATACTCTCTCTAAACTTGTGTCCTTTATTCTTTTAGTGTGTCTGCATGTGTAGTGCACGTGTACGTCTTTCTTCACCATAATGATTTTTCCATAATCGTTAATTGCCCTCAAATATTTACAAAACATGTTAGTGACAAGTTTGAAAGATTCAGAAAACCTTTTCATCGGTTTCCAGAAGCAAGTCAGGGAGTCAAAGTTGGCACTCGGATAATAGATGGTTATTCTGTTCATTACGGTGATTATAGTCTAATTGCTATAATGCCAAACCTCTGCAGAAAAACAAAGAACGTATGCTTCTAGAGGTGTGGAGATGTGTCTCGGCACGCATGTAACATTGAAGTATTCTTGAAGGAGCTAATTCACCCACACACATTCCATCCAACAAATCACAGTGAGGGCTAATCATTAATGCCCCGCTATCAAAACTCCTCATGATCTGCTGGAATGGCTCTCAACCTCTCCAGGCTGATCCTCCTGAGAGACTTGTGGCTGTACTTGAGCACTTGAGCAGGCAGCAGAGATTGGTGTGGGTTTTGAATCTGCATACCAATAAGTGAATTGTAACTAGCAAAAACATTTTTACACAAATAACAACAAAGAAGGCCAAAAATGTTTCGTCGGACACAGCACGAGGCCTAACTTGTTAATGATTTGCCATTGCTCTTTAGAGTTCTTTATAAAATTCACCCAAGTGGCTGATGCTTTTTCAAAACGTTTTATTCCTGTGATGGCAAAGCGGAATTTTAAGAGTCGTCAGAGTCACAGAGTCGTTTTTGTCACTGCTTAATATTTTCGTAGAAAATGAGAAATCGGACCAGAGTGGCATGTTGTGACTAGTGTTATTAATTTTAAATTTAATAATGATTGTAATTAATTATGGGTGTAATAATATATCGTGCCACAATATATCGCAATATAAAAAATGCGTATCGTAGAGAGTGACAATATGCGTGGATAGTCCCCCCAAAATAAAAATTACTGTTTGAGAAAAAATGTAACTTTTCAGAGTTTTAGTGTAAGTACTACATTAAACCACTAAATAATGTTGATTATAATGTATAATAATGCAATGAGGGAATATTTGTGGGTCCCGATAATGCCAAATATGCCTGATGTTACCAGTAAAAAGTGGCCGAAGTTATTTTAAATACTGTATATCTAGTCAGTGAAAGAGTGCAAGCATATTCATCTGAAATAATTCTTCATTTTCAGCTTCAGAATCATGAATATTTTTATTTTGGTGTCACCGTTGTCCTTGGGTTACACCAAGGACCAAGTCCAATTCAATTAAACCCACAATGTAATATCAAATTTAGCATTTTAATTGACAGTACATTTTTGGTTAACCTTTTGCCATATGTCTTGGAGTATCGCAATAATATCATATCGTGAGTTCAGTATCGTGATATGTATCGAATCGTGACATGAGGGTATCGTTACACCCCTATATTTAATGGGGTTTTTATTCCATGAATTAGGTGTACATTTCAGACGTCTTCACTTGAATTAAAACCTCTAGGTTAGATGAGTGAAATCATTCAATTTGCATTCATATTATGACATGTTGCTATCGTCAATTAAAACATGGGCAAATAAATATTTAAATACTCATAAGCCTATACGTTTCAGGACAATTTGACCTTTCAGATGAATCTCTTTTACAGGGATCCTGGGTTATCTGTCATTGGTTATTCAATTATTCAACTAAAAAGCCAAAATTCATTTAGAATAGCCTAGTTGATTATGTACATTGTTCTTAAGGGGGGCATCTTCCCCCATATTACCCTGTTATTAATGTTATTGACCTCTGGCACAAACCACACAACTATTGCTTCACTTTATTAATTTCTTACTGCTTGACTATCTTCATCATAAAATGTCTCTCACACTTTCCTTCACAGAACGAGCGCAGCCTTGCTTCTGGGAATAGTGTTCGCCTTGACCCCAGGACCATATCTCCACATTCACTATGTCTGTTTCATTGGAAATGATCATAATCATAACCTCACATGCAATTATAAGTTGTGGTTATGGATGCACAACTGCCAGATCTCAGAACAGACCGAATTTGGCCAATGTGGGAAAAGCGAGACTAAGAGAGATTATATCTGTTAAAAAAAGCTAAAGCTCCAAGAACAGCCCTCTGCCTGCACGGTGATCGCACTTAATCCTTTGTGATCAATGATAAGCTATACTTTAATGCTCACTGACACTGATAGTTATTTCATGATATGGAGAGCTCCAGATGATTATGCTCATTGGCAGAGCCTTTGCCCAAACCTCCCAGCTCCCGGAGTCTGTTAAGCAGCACAATTCCTTGGTTTTGTTTTCTGACAGTGGTGAGACGGCGTATGCGAGGATTTCACAGCTGCGTCCTGGTTGGGAATCAACTCAACACTCTGTGGTCAAAGTGTCAAGGTTTCAGCTACTGCCACATTAGCATTTGGCTCTGGTTTGCCACTTTGTACTTGAACCAAGGACATAGGTTGTCATGAGGGTTATAAAATAATAATAATCGATTATGATTATAATGTTTTACAGATGCCGCATCAGATTACTTTCACTGAGTTTGGGTTTCTGCATACCTTTTTATTCATAACATTTGACCAAATGTCTCAAATGTGACATTTGTTCCAAATGTTCTCAAATGTGATTTATTTATTTGTTATGTGTATTCTGGAATATTTGCACTATATACTAAGAAATTTGCTGTAAATTGCCAGTAATATATAGTTGTTAATTCTACAACGTAGCTTGAATTAACGACACAATATAAACATTTTATTAGATTAACATATATCTAAAATTACACTACCATTCCAAAGTTTGGGGTTGGTAAGATTAGGCTGCATTTATTTGATGAAAAATACATTCACTCAATAACATAGTAAAATAGTGTTGCAATTTAAAAATAAAATTTCTATTTTAATATATTTTAAAATTAAATGTTTTCTTATGACAAAGCTGAATTTTCAGGCCACATTTACACAAAGCTGGGTATTTAGCGAAAGGAATATTTTCCCCCTCTCCGTTTTCAAAAATAACATCGTTCACACACCGGCATAAATATGCTGTCAAGCGCCATCATATCTATGCCAAACCTATTGGCGGCAGTGTAGGGAGAAGGATAAAGCCATGTAATCAGAATCCTCAGAATCGTCAAGAGAGAACCTAAAACGCTATTTCTCCCAGTTCACACGTCAACACATAACCGGCGTTTTCAGAAATCTCCACTTTGGCCGGAGTTTTTAGAAATGATCGTTTTCTGTGATAAAAACACAGGGTTTTCGCGTAAACGAGAGGCCAATCCGCAGGGAAATATCTGCGTTTTCCCTTCGTGTAAACGGGCCCTCAGTTTTCCGAAATCATACTAATATGCTGATTTGCTGCTCAGGAATTTAACATTTCTTATTATTATCAATGTTGAAAACAAATGCAGCTTAATATTTCTTTGTGAATGAAAGTACAGAAAATTGTACTGTCCCTAAACGTTTGAACGGTAGAGTTTATTTTTGGTGTATAATTTTGTCTACATTCGACTGCTTTGTGAATGATCTTTCCAGTTATGTATTTATATATTCAGCAGCATATTTTAAAAAATAATCATGAATCATTCAATAATCAAATGGGACTGAATCGGATTGAATGATTTATCATGATGTATAAGGAAAACAATCGTAATCAAATTGAATCAGTGTCAACCATTTACATCCCTTTTTGTCATTACTCATCATTGCTGACAAAAAAAGCATAGAGAATATAGAAAATATGGCATTACAAAGAGGCCTAAAAAATGCTCTTCTTGGAAAAGCAGACTTGTTCTTTTTGAAAAGACAAGACAAATATGATTAATGGCCTGGGGTGTCATAAGTACACACACCACAGCTTGTTTGGTATTGTGGATAGAGTTACTTGTGACAGATGAGCCAGTTGGTTTAGGGCTCATGATTCACTTTGCACTGCCGTCTTATCACAGACCAGCTTGCCCCGACCTGTCAAAGCATCAGAGCCCAGTGGAATCCGAACGGGAGATATGCGTGCTAAGTGTGCGGCGGGCCGCCTGATAGAAGGCTCACAGAGGGTATAGTGTGACGGAGAGAATGCTCCCAAGGTCGGGTGTTGGGTTTCCCAGCTTAACCTCCCAGGCTGGTTGTGACATACTCCCCACGGTTCCCAGTCAACATGGGCTCACATAACCTCTTAGCCCTTCTCCCCTTGGCAGCGTGAATCCCCACTAAATACCTCCCTGAGCTGCACCGCAAACAGCCACTACCACAAGCAGAGCCTGTTTAGGTCACCGCTCAGCTGGATGGGTATCAGTAGATTTGGCCTGACGGTGCATTTTTTTTTTTTTTGCACTTGAATGTGACCCAGACTTGTTTTATTTTAGCTTGTGTTTGTGGGCCCTTGTCTTAATTTAACATGGCAGCTCTCTTTTCTGACCACCAGGCTGAGAAGCTCTTGGAGTCTTGTGGTTTTGGCAAGCGTGACTGGACTGTCTGCGGAAAATCCCCTCCAACAAAACAGCACAACTCACTCAGAGGACCCTGAACTATAAGCAAGACAGGCCTTGTCAAACACTCCCAGGATTGACTCCAATATCCTCCCGTTCCAGTGAAAGTGTTGCATGCACTTCAGATTGATGCCGCTCGAGTGTCAAACACCCGCTGTCTGATAGCAGAACCAATGGTGAGATACAATTACAGATTGGCAAAGGTATAGTATTTATGATGTGTAATCTATTATGTTATTATTTATTCAGTCTTAATTGCACAATTAATATCATTGATCACCAAAAATCAATATGCACAAGTGATTTATGCTTTAAAGAAATGATAATTAGACTGCAAAATATGAGTTTATTAATTATTAATCAACAATCACATTGTTATTTATTTAAAATATTAATAATACAATAATATATTAATTTATTTAAGAAAAAATATGAGTATGAGGTTCTTCTTCTTCTTTTTCCTTCCTTCTCCTTCTATTTATTTATTATCTATTAATTCATTTTCCAAACCGCTTTAACTTTTGCAGGGTCACAATGATTCTGGTGCCCATATTCATTTATTAATAATAATAATAATGATAAAAAATCTTAGTGGTATTATTTATTCAGTGTCTTACTTATTACAGTGTCTTATTATTCATAAATAATAATAATTATTAATATTTATTTATAATGCATGTTGTTATTTGTTGCAATTGAATGGTTTAGTTAAACAATCATTTAAAATGACCAATTAACATTTATTATTATTATTATTATTATTATTTATGCGAAGTTGTTTTGCAATGTATGTCATCTTAGCTTTGGGGATATATAATTTTAAGCTATTTCTTTCTTGTAAATGGGAGTATTAATCAAAACAATCAATACTTTATGTTACTTAATACTGTTGTTTATTATGGCCCAGCTCAGAGGCCACAACAAATAGAGGAAACCTTGTCCATGATAACAGAACGTATAGTGAAATAGAATGACAAGCCAGAAAACTGTGAGCAAGTTTTGAGTAAGACCAAGTGCAGAAGACTCCAGCGTGAGACTACTTTTTCGATGTGAGGAATATGACGAGATTTCACAAGCTCATTATGCACTGCTGATCGCACTTCACTGGCAGCCTGCTATACCAAAACTGGTGTGAACACAGATGTTTCTATGCACAAATTAAAAGCAGGGGTTACTGTCGAATATACTCCAAGAATTCTGAGCTAGAGATGTTTTCCAGCTCCTCCAATGTCAAAACGTCTTCGCCAACTTTGTCAACAATGGGCAAGAAAGCAAACTAATGGCCGTCTTTCACTGGTTTGAGATGGGTAAATATTTTCCCAGTTGTTAAGGATGAGCTAGCGAGCCAGCTATGCACTCGTTTTAATGACGGGGTTTGGATGGAGGAACTTCACCTAGTAACTTTTCCAGGCTCAACATGGCAACTCAATCATGAGTGCAAGGGTGACATTGTACACCGCCATGCCTTGAAATATTAGCGTCCAGAAAAATGGACCGGCAATTATTGATCTTTATAAAGTAATCCGCCAGCACTTATGGAAACCAAAGGAAATAAATTAACAGAAAGCACTTCACAAGACTTTTTGCCAGTAGAGAATCAATATCATTGAAAATAGTAGTATTTGCCTCTTTGCACCAGTTGTTTAACACTTTGGGTTTGTTCTGTGAAAACCCAATCTGTCTCTTGATCTTAGCAGAAAAACACATCTGTTTCCTCTGCTCCATCCATGTGAAGCCAGTTCAGACCACATCGAATCCCATTGAATGTCAGCTGAAACCTTTCGGTTCACCCTGATGATACGCACATGCAGGTAATAATTTGAAAGAATTCACCACTGATCTAGAGGTGTCTGCTTTTACTCAGAAAGGTCAATGTGAGGCCTCCATTTTTTGCTGATTTTATATAGATATTACATTTTTTATTAGTGTAATTACTAGCACATCTCAAGCCAAAAATGTAAGTGCATGATATTTTTAGTTGGATTAGGGCTACAATGTAAATATTTAAACATCCTTATAAGGATATGGTTACATGGTAACGATCTGAAGAGAAAGCGCGAAAGTGGCGTTGCGTTATCACTTTTTGTTCTGCGTTTAGACGAGCGTTATGGGTGGGAAATCCGCTTGCATATGGTGATGCAAAAGTGTGTGAAATTCGATGTAGTATGCACTCCAGGCAGCTAGGTGGCAATGTGAAGCACTGCCACACGACAACACCAAGTCAGTGCTCTTGCGTACAACCTTCACCGTCAAGCAGACTTTTGCATGGAGCATTTTTAAGATTTCTATTTCTTTCTATTCACTTTTTTTGCATTTTTAAGCCCCAAAAACGCTGTCGCCTGTCGCATGTTTTCACCCGTGAGCGTTCGTGTGAACAGGGCCTAAAGGCGCTTTTCCACTGCATAGTACAGTACGGTTCGGTTCGGTACGGCTCACTTGTGGTGCTTTTCCACTGCATGGTACGTTACAGTACGGTTCGCTTCAGGTCGCTTTAAATGGTACCTGGTCTGTTGAGGTTCCAAGCGTACCGTACCGGTACTAAAATGTGACGTGAAACACTGCAGATCACTGATTGGTCAGACAGAATCGTCACTACCAGCGTCACTACTAGCGTCATTGGATTTGCGACACGAGACACTTTTTAGCAGTATTTTTGTTTTGCTGCCATCAGCCTCATTTTAAACACATTTTTCCGTCTAGCAGTTAAAAACAACCACATACCGAGAATCAGGAACCCCTCGATAGTCTCCATTGTTCCTGTGTTGTGGGTTTGAAAATGTGTTTTAAGATGATGTCATGGCAGTAGAGGCGCGTGCAAATAACGATCAGTCCCACACACTTTGAAGGGGTACTACTGCAGTGGAAACGCAAAGGGAACCGAACTGTTCCGCTCCGAGTCGAAGCGTACTGCGCCGAACCGTACCGTACTATGCAGTGGAAAAGCGCCATAAGTCTTGTTTTTAGTGAAATCCATCTAAATAATAGTGTAATTTTTAATGCTAAAAAAAAGAAGGAAAAAATGATAATGGGATAAGGAACAAAAATTTAACAAGTTGATTTTTCTCACTGGCAAATTTTTTATTAATTTTTTAATCATAAATCTCACTAAAGTTACATTTATCTGAAAACAAGACTACAGCTATGTTCAGGCTGCCTGCAAAAATCATATTTTTACCGGAAGTATTTGCAAGTCCACAAGACCTTAAGTGCATTGAAGTGTGCCATTTGGGAAAGTTCAAAATTATTACTCAAGCAATAAAAAAAAGAAACAGAAATTTGATGTTTATAGTAATTTTTGCTTATTAGTATGGCTGAATTAGATAGCAGCAAAGACATTAGATAACATTTTACTGCTGTCAATATTGTACGTGTATGTCTATATTAAACATAAGTAAATGTATGGTTGGTAGAACCACACTTTACATAAAAAATACACACAAAAACTCATGAGATCACATTGAACAATTTGTCAAAATAAATCATAATATGTTTTTGCCCTGTCTGCTTGATTAGAGGCAGTTGTGTTTTTGCGTTTGAACAGAACGCAGGATTCTGCTGGCAGTCTCTAGGGGAGATGATCTCTTGTTATGACAGGCTATTTTGGCTCAGTATACGCCTGGCACAGCTGCAGGGATGCTCTCTGGCAAGCGTGGATTCACTGCTGGCATGATGGGCCTTTTTATTTCCCTGTGCCAAGAAGTGTGTGTTGGTTTGGTAGCTGCTCTTTGGCCTATCACATGACAGGATGCTGATCTAGGCTTAATTTGTCCCTCAACACTCTAATGCAGAGCACTGATCCTGCTTTAATTTGCTCTCCATCACGGCTTGCTTTAATTTAATCCATAACGCTTTAGGACCTGACCATTGTAATCAGATATAATCAAATAGCATTTGCAAAAATCCAGCTTAAGAGCCCTTCAAAAAAAGCCAGTCAAAGCCCTTCGATGTTGCATGTCTTTTTGGTTTTCAAACAAAATGTAACAGGTTTGTGAAAGCATCAGGATATTATATTAATTTGACCTCACTATGCTTACTTGCAACGCAGCCTCATTGCATAATACCTTAGCACATTATGTCCTTAGTAAGTGGCTGGAGGCTTGCCAGACAAAACAACCAGATCCCTCCTGTCAATCTAGAGCTTTAGTGAGTGAGATGGTTGCCAAGCAAAAAGATAACGCTAACACCACAGCACAATGACAGAGAAAACAAGAGCGGCAGCTCTTTAATGCGGAACAGCAAACATGGTTAAATCACAATGAGGGGAATTTACAGAGATGCTGTCATGTTAATAGAATGCGTTCTAACAAGCATTCTTGACCAAAATAGCATTTGCATTAACAGACACGCAGACGTACCATCCTTTCATTGTTGTTTCTGTTTGTTTTTGTTTTTTTTACTTTTTTTATTATATTTTTTATTGTAGGGCTGCCAAAGACGCTAATGCACTAGCTAGTATCATTTAACTTTTTTCCAGCACAGTATTTTTGGTATTTAGTTGCATTTTCACATTAAAATAATGTATTAGTTATTTTTATTTGATATTAGATAGTATTGAAATAATTAAATAGTCGTTCATATTTTCTGGTTTTGTATTTAGTTGCACTGTTTTTTATTATAGTGCTACGTTTGTTTTAGGGCTGCCAAAGTTAATATGCCAGCTGAAATGTTTGTTCTAAAATGTTCAGATAAAATGGAGGTATTACTTATTGGTCCACAAAACCTCTTACAATAGAATTTTAATTTAGAAGGATGTCCTATTACTTTATCCACTAAGACATGGGTGTTATACTAGACCACAACTTGTCTTTCAAAAATCATATTTCATATGTTACAAGAACAGCCTTTTCCACCTTAGAAACATTGCTAAGCTACGTAACATCCTATCTGTTTCTGATGCAGAAATGTTAGTTCATGCATTCATGACCTCGATACTAGATTACTGTAATGCTTTAGTTGGTTGCCCTGCATCCGCAATAAACAAGCTAGCTAGTGCAAAATGCAGCTGTGAGAGTTCTTACTACAAGAAAATATGATCATATAACAACAATTTTATAATCTCTACACTGGTTACCTATTAAGTTCTGTATCAAGCCCTCTAAATGGTCTCCGTTTATATTTAATGGACCTTCTATCGTCCTACAATCCATTGCGTTCTTTAAGATCACTAAATTCGAGGTTCTGTTCATTCCTAAGATATCTAAGTCCACTAAAGGAGGGAGGGTGTTCTCACATTTAGCTCCTAAACTCTGAAATACCCTTCCTGATATTGTTCGAGGCTCAGACTCGCTGTCCCAGTTTAAAACTAGATTAAAAACGCATCTCTTTAGCCAAGCATTGACAAATGCTCACTGTTGAATCAGATCTAATGCATTAATATTATGAACATCATCTATGCTTATTATTTCCCATCTGCTTTTATCTCGG